ACCCCAATCCCTGCATTTTTTAGTGATGGATGGGCAGACAGAGACGAAGTCATTGAAGGTTATGAGGTGGAAGCCAACGGGGGAATCACGATAAAGCTGCAGTCTCCAGAGGTCAGGTCATTTGATGATTATTTCCTGAAACTGAGGTTGGACACTAACACAAGGAATCCCTGGTTCCCTGAGTTCTGGCAACATCGATTCCAGTGCCGCCTACCAGGACACCTTTCGGAAAATCCCAACTTTAAAAGAATCTGCACAGGTAACTCATATTCACAAATAATAACTCAGCAATTGGGTCATCTCCACCAGCCCCATTTCAGCTTGTTGAATGAGACTAAAGAGTGTAGGCTATTCAAAGACAAAAATACCATCTTAGTTCATAAATTAACTAGGAGGTTGAAGTATATATTGCTTCAGGGATGCATATTCCTACATTCTGGAGGCTCTTTTGGTGTCTGGTGGAGAAAGTGCTAGAAAATAGATAGTATAAGTAAAGGAAAAACAAACTAAGAATTCAGGTGTCTAGTATTCAAGCCAGAAGGAAGCAATATTGTTGCAGGCTTGCTTGGGAGATATTAGCTGCAGACTTAAGTGTGTGTAAGCAGCACTGGTTTGATCTTTTTTATTTTTCTTTGTAGTTTGCTTCCATACACAAGACAGGGGAAACTGAAGTGACAGGTGAAGACAGGTAGTGTCACCCTGGGACCTGCCACCATCATGGGTGTTTGTAGGCACACATGCCAGGGAACTCTGCACTCTAATCTGTACACTGGAATGCCGGTTCCCAGTTGGACAGTTCCTTCCCACGTACTGCTTGCTCCCACCATGCCAGGAAAGGGCAGCACACTGTTCTTAGTTTTGGGGGCCTTGATGAGCTCCATAGGAGACCCTTTTACCCCTTAGTAATTATCTCAACTCAGACTTTTAAAACCATTACTTTTATGAGTGTTATCGTTATGACAGAAAGACATCGCTGTCCCCTACTCTTTGTCGGTATCATGTATGCTACAAACACAGGTCATCTTTGGTCTATCATAATGCCATTCAGAACCAGTTTTCATACTTTGTTGATGGCATGGCATGATGGACTTCCCATGGTGATGGGTGATGGAATCTGCTCATGACCTCATTTGTATTGCAGAACAGTAGTATGACATATATTTCTATATCTAGGCTGAGAAGATATTTTTACAAAGGCCTAGAATTCTTTTGTTCATACCACACTCATTTAAAACACTGTATTCAGCTAACCCACCCCTGCCACATACGTTTTTCTACTAACTTCTCTTTCTCTCAAGTAATAGGCCTTCAGAAGTTAAGAATTCCAATGAACCAATGAATCACCTAGGACAGTCTCTGTATTTGCAAAATAGAAGTGTTGAGGATGAGCAAGGGTAGTAACTTCCCTAGGCTCATCTAGTTCATGGCAGCAATGGAATTAGAATCCATACCTCCTAAATACCACAAGGCCTGAATGCTTTCAGACTTAACATTCAGAAGTATACAGCCTTTTATTGCTCTCTAATTGTTTCCTGAGATGTGTTGTCTTATTTCTTACACTGTAATATCTTTAAGGATAGAGTGTTCTTGTGATCTTCATAGAACTCTGTCCAACATGGATCTCTGGGTCAATTCTTGTTAGCAAGCTGATCAGCTAATTGATGACTTCTTTTATTTAGGAATTATTTAGGAATTTACTGTGTTTGCCTGTTCTATTTTTTTTTTTAAAGAAATGTTAAGGAATATTATTTATTTATTTTAACTTTTAAAATTTTGTCAGAGGGTACAGATGCTAAAGAGAGAGAAAGAGAAAGAAAATATGAAACCTTTGTTTGCTTTATTTTTGTTTTTTAAGACAAGTTAAAGACTATTGTTTATTTGTTTTAGCTTTTACAATTTTGCCAGAGGATATGAGAGAGAAAGAGAGAGAGAGAGAGAGAGAGAGAGAATGAAAAATATTTTATTTATTCCATATTCATCTGATATTTATCAGGTACCTGCTATGTATAAGGCTTCATTCTAAGAGATGGAACTATAACAGGTGACCAAAAGAGAACAAAAAAGAGCTATGTTCTCAGTGACTTTATAATTCAGTGGTGGGAATTAGATAATAAACAATAACAACCAAAATAAAGCAAAACATAGGCTTATTTAACTGTATCTAAGAGCTATGGAGAAAGTAAAAACTGGGAATAATGATGAGATGGAAGGATTGTGATTTTAAGAGGATGGGCAGATAAAGATAATATCTTTAACTGTACTAATATACAGTGTATTCATGCTAGGAAAATTCATTTTGCAAGCTGTAATGATATATAGTAATTGAATATAGAAAAAAATTTAAAAATAAAAATTTAAAAAAAAAAGCATGGCAAGAAAGTCTCACTAAGAAGATAACTGTGAAGATGATGAGCTTGAGCCTGTGAACATTTGGGAAGTGTTCTCCATGCCTAAATAACAACACATGAGAAGAGGCAGGAACATGGCTGGCTTGGTGGAAGAACAGTAGGGAGGCCAGGGAAGCTGGAGCCAGTGAGTATGTCATGTCTAGGAAACATGGTCAGGGAGACACTCAGGGGAAGCAGATCAGGTAGGACTTTCCTGGCCATTGCAAGAACTTCATCTTTGATCTGAGTGAGATAGGAAACCCCTGAAAGTTGCAGCACAGCACAGCATTGTCAACCTTCTGTTATCTAAACAGAATCACTCTTGGTGCAACATGTATATATTAAGAGGAAGGTCCCAAGGAAAGGAAAGCAGAGAGGAAATCCCAGTAATAATGCAAGTGAGAATATGGTGGATTGGGCCATGGCAGAAGCAAGCAAAATGAAGAGAAGTGGCATGATGCGAACATATTTTGAATGAGAGTTGAGGAGATTTGCTGACAGAATTGTCAAGGATGAGTAGTCTGAGCAACTGATAAGGTAGTGTCATCATTAATTGAGATAGAAAAAATGTCAGGAAAAGCAGGCTGGGAAAGAATGGAAAGGCTGATTTTGCACAAGTTAAGTTTGAGATGTCTATTAGTGGTCCAGCAATATATGTCATTTCATTGTGGCTTGTTAGTACAATTCAGAATACTATTTATTACACACACTTAGATGTCTTTATGAGGGATTTCTGGGAAAATATTTTATGGTTTAAATTCTCAAAAGAAGGACCAGCATTTGGCATAATTACTCGACTCCCATGTAGTCAACCATGGTTCGAGTCCCGGACCTGGTGATTTAAACTTACGCCAGGCACATGTGGGTGGGTACCCAAGATCCTGAAAGGAGAATGGAGGAGAAGGGATTGTGGCATGGCCATCCCCCCTGGGAGGTGATGTCTCACTTTCTGTCTCTCTGTCTCTCTCTATCTTTCTGGTGAGCTCCCTATAGCAAAAACCTCTCCAAAAAATAACTCAAAAGAAAACAGAACTCTGTAGACATACACATTAATATTTTAGGGTATCTAGGAAAATATTTTATGATCTAAATTCTTGAAAGAGAGGTAGAAGTCTATAGACATGTGCATTAATATCTTGGGGTTTCAATTGTCATACTACTTGTAAATGTCAAAGGTAAAACTCAAACACAGCAGGAAATTGAATTTGCCAGTTCATGAGCTGTTCTTATATTGTGGTTGAATCTCAAAGCTTCAATAAGAGCTTTTTATGTGATATATTGTTACAACTTTTAATAAATATCTTTATGTTTACATTTCATTCTGGTGTCAAGATTAGCAAATATATTCCTTTGTTCTTAGGTCTAATGAAAACAGAAGGTTTATTTAACTTTTCTATTTGGAACTGATTTCAAAAATTACTGATGTTTTCTGCTTTAGTAATCATAGAATCCCATTTATTTATTTATTTTTAGAATTATTTTATTTAACTTTATTTATTTATTTATTTATTTATTTATTTTTTATTTGACCAGAGAGGGACAGAGTGAGAGTGAGAGAGAGTGAGAGAGAAAAAAAAAAAAAAAACAGTAAAGCAAGCCACCAGATCTAGGACTTAAACCATGGTCAACAATGTGGGAATTTCTAGCAACCTTAACCACCATGCTACCTGCCAGCCCTGGAATCTTAGAATTTTAAATTGTCTGTGTGTATATACATTCATGTAAACTTGTTTTGCTCTTCAGTTTTAATCTCTTATTTCTGTGAAATCAGCTTCAATGTTCCTACACAACATAAGCTATCACCTCATGTATTATATTCTTATTCAGTTGAGGTTCTTGAATATAAAATGAATTCCCTAGACTTCTAATGAATACACAGATATGTTTATAAAAATGACTATGAGCATGAGGTATTAACCTTTCCATTCTATTGATAACTATGTTTTTTTATCACTCATTTTTACCTCTTCTAACTGGGTCACTTTTGCTATTTTAGAAGGTTTAGATATTGCTATCAGTTTCCATAGAAACCTGTATTGAGCTTAATCTCAGAAGTCACTATTTAAATAGAGAATTTACATGCGCTCAGTTGCCAGTTTAAATATTAAGGCTTCTGAGCTTAGGCTGAATAATTCGGGAATCACTGTGGCTAATTAAAAAGTACTTCATGCAAAGTCCACATCACTGCTTAATTAGTTCAGTATATCAAGGGATTGCCGATGTGTTGGGAAAACACTAACTGAATCCTCAAAGCCTGACTCCTAAAAAATTAATCACTATAAGGACAGTGGAGAGAGTAGGTATAAAACAACTCAAACTCTCTTCCAGTAAATGTCTTATCTGCTTAAAGGATTTGTATCATGTTTGCAATGGCAGAATACTTTGTCATTTCTGATGAGAACCGTTAGAATCCATGGAAGCTGCTTGAGTGTAGCTCTTGGAAGCACAACCTCTGGGTCTCCTACTGGGCCTGTTATGTATCTGCCATATGAGTTGGATGATCTCACTTAACCCCTGAGTCTCATTATCTGCAACAGTAACATGATAACAATATCTACCTCATAAAGGGGCTGTGAGAATTGAATGGAATAATACAAGTGAACTACTTTGCAACCTGTAAATACTTACCTAAGTCTAAAATGTCTTTACAGTGTCATGTCCTACAAGAAAACAAATAAGATATGATGCACACTTATAGCTTTTGAATTTAAACATTTAACAGAATTACATTCCAGGATGTGGAAACTAGAGAAAAACAAGAACACATCATTAACTGATCACCCTTATACAATGTCAACATAGATATTTTCTTTTTTTCTAAATAGACTTTTATGCCTTTCTCTGACTATAAATTAGTACATGGCTACTATAT